TTTTTTTTTTTCTTGCGTTATGCGGGCCTCTCACTGTTGTGGCCTCTCCCATTTGCGGAGCACAGGCTCCGGACGCGCAGGCTCAGCGGCCACGGCTCACGGGCCCAGCCGCTCCGCGGCATGTGGGATCCTCCCGAAACGGGGCACGAACCCGCGTCTCCTGCAACGGCAGGCGGACTCTCAAGCACTGCGCCACCAGGGAAGCCCTTGTTTTACTTTTAATGGCTAATATAGTCACTTTATAAATAGTCTGTATTAAGGAATATTTAAACAGTGCTGCAGTAAACATCCTTGCCTATTCATCAGTAAATAAAATAAAATCAACATGTGTCAATGACAGCCGGTTCAACCCACTGTCCCATTGTGTCACTGGGACTATTTCTCAAAGTGTGGGGCTCCCAGGGACCAGAGAAGGCACATTGTGATTTTAGATGGCACAGCCAAGGTGAAGGATGACAGAAGGGAACCATTCCTCCCTGTCCGGTTCTGTCTGGATCCTGAGAAGGCAGAGAGAAAGCCTCAGGTTAGTGCTGCTATGGCCTTAACACCTCTCTGACGCGTCTGAATCCCCCTTTGCAGCTGGGAGAGCAGACTCAGCTATGAGCTTTCAGCAGGCCACGTACCTCCCTAGAAACTACCAAGGCTACATTGTTCTCCATACCTTTGTGGTTATTTATGCCTTCTCTATATTTATGGCAGGCCATGCTGGTTTTCCATTTGAATTATAATGTAAAGCTTCCTGTTTAAATACACTCAATTAAATGAAAAAGTGAATCCACTGAAAGAAAGATGGTAAGCAAATAAACGCAGAGTTGGTACAGAATGCACAAAAATCGAGCCGCGATATAAGGGTAGAGGACGTGGAAGACCCTTTGGAGTGAGGAGATTTAGGCCTTTAACCGGAACACTGAGCCTGGCGTGTCATCCCCTGTCATGGGGTTGATCACGTGCCACCTTGCCCCAACTCCGTGCCCACCCCAAGCCAGGAGGAGGGAGAGGACAAGAGTGGATCTCTTCTTGTGAAATGTTCAGCTCCACCTGCCTGTGAATCTCAGAGGCAACCTTGCCCAGTGTAATCCAAAAACAAACAAACAAATTAAAGGGAAAATGGCAGGTCTGGTTTGAGTCAAGGCAGAAAGTGACAGGGGTTAGCACAGAGGCACCAGTATGTCCCCCAGCACTTTCCGAAGGCCACTGCGGGGATCTTGTCACAATTAAATGGATCCAGACAGGCTCTCTCTCTGCACTGGCCCCTGAGGACGCCTCCTCTGGGTCTGCCTGTCAGCACCTGGGGGCCTCCCCTTTCCTGAAAGGGAATTTGCTGAGCAGATAACAACAGTCCTCAGAAAGTCTAGCTCCCAGCCAGCTCTCAAGGTCGGTAGATTCTGTCTGCAACGGACCTCCACATTCCTCTTCTGGTTCATTCCCCTCTGATTATTCTCTTCCCCCACCCAGCTCCCTGCCCCAAGCCTCTTGGCCTGGAGATCTGAGTGACTTGTTTAAACTCGGGTATGAGTGACTACCTGTATTAAAATGGATGATCTGCAAAAAGCCATGTTTAACCCAAAGAAATGAATTGTTAATTGTGGAATTTTAGGCACAGAGAGAAGGGGACTAATACCCTTCAAGTCACCATAAAGCAAGATGAAGGCACTGGTCAGCAGAGGAAGAAGGGGTGGTGTTCCGTGAGCCTAAATAGTGGTCCCACGCCAAGACCATGGCACCCATGCAGGAAACAGCCCAAGCCATGCAGAAGCACACCACAGACACCAGCGCGCTGGGTGGTCAATTTCACGCTACCTAGGCGACCGATGGAGCTCCTGGTCTCCTTGGCGAAGCTGGAGTTGGACAAGGCTGTCCTCCGGGAGATGAGGACAGGGGTGCGGGTGATCAGGGGGTGGTAGCTGGGCACATTGGGGAGGTGCTCCACCAGGTTTGGGGGAGCAAGCCCGGGGGTCACTTGGTCAGGTGGCTGGTCCTGGACCAGGCGATTCAGCTCCATGTCCCGGCCTGGTTTAGCCATGGTGCTGGGGGCAGGGGATCTCAGGCAGAGGCGGGACCCTGGGGACTGCAATGAGGAGCACAGAGTTGGGAGAGGCAGGGTAGGTGGGGCTCTTCCCCACCAGCGCCAACACGGACCAGCCCGGTGCCCACCTGCGCTTGCAGCAGCTGCACCCAAAGTCTGGAGCATCACTCTTGTCCCTGGAGTTCAGTGTCAAGAGCATCACCAGTCATGTGGCTCGTCCACCCAACAGCTCTGAGAGACAGCCCTGAGCGCCCCAGTTCTGGAGCTTTCTCTGCTAACCAACCATCGTAGCATTTCATACTTTAGACTCAAAGAAATTAGAATCAGACAACCCAGAACCCCTCAGGCTTAGGCTCACAGACTCAAACGTTCTTAGCCTGGTAGGATTTTCCATCCCAAAGAAATCCTGGAGCTCAATTAATTTCACTTCCAACCAGAAGCAATAACTTTTCCTAGGTCCCTGTTTCCCCAATTGGGCTGCATATTGGAATCACCTGGGGAGGTCTGGAAATGCCTGATGTGTGGGCCCATCCCCAGAGATTCTGATTTAATGGTCTGGGGTGAGGACTGGCCCCAAGATTTTTAAATCTCCCCAGATGATTCCAATGTGCAGTCATGATTGAGAACAAGGGCTCAGGGCCATTGCCTCTCAAACACAAATGCACAGAAAAATCACCAGGGATCTTGTTAACAATGCAGATTCTGGTTCAGCACTGGGCTCTTGTTAAAAAATGCAGATTCTAATTGGGTAGGTCTGGGATGGGGCCTGGGATTCTGCATTTCTAACCAGCTCCCAGGTGACACCAAAGCTGCTGGTTCAAGATCCACACTTTCGAGTGGCGGCAGACAAAGGGCTGTGTTTCAGTGTTTCTCAAAGTGTGGTTCCCAGGCCACCTGCTTCCAAACGACCTGGGGAAGGGGGTGGAACCAGCCCCACAGAACCTGAGTCTGCAACCGGGTGATCCTGGTCTTGTTCATCCATGTGGGGTGCAGACTTAGTAGGTTTCCGGCAGATTTGGGTTAAAGTTAACAGAGGATGTTTTTCAAAGATCAGGTGCGGGGCAGGCTCAGGACACCTGGGGTTAAGACACCCGGGTCCAGTCTCATTTCCATCAGTGGCTGCCTGGGACACAAACATCATTGTCATGGTCCCCATTACGGTCTCTTCTTTCAGTTCCAGTGATGCATTGTCACCCCCACTCTGCCCAACAACCCAGTGAGGTAGGTACTGTTATAGCTCCCTCTTTCTTGATTTGGGAGCCACAGTTAAGAGAGGTCACAGAACTGGTTCCAGGTCACAGAGCGAGGAAGAGGGAGGAGCCTGAAACGCAGGTCTGTGTCCTTGACCACTGAGCCAAATGCTGCCCACATGGAGCCTCAGTTTTCTCATCTGTAAAATGGTCTGTCTGCCTCAAAGGGCAGGTGGAGTACCACCCGTGTCTTGAGGCCTGTGGAAGTTTGCAAGGCCAGGGCTCAGTGTCCAGACATTCTCACTCCCCTAGACTCTGTCCCCATCATCCCTGAAGTTCTCAGGATTAGGGGTGGGAGTGATAAATCATCAAATTGTGCTGGGGATCTTAGCAGTAAGGAGAAGCTCAAAAGACAGAGTCTAGGACACACCCTTAGCGAGCTCTGGCCCCAATTTTCACTCAGGTACGTTACATTTGAGCCAAATGCTCACTGGGCAGTAACCTAGAGAGATGTGTTCCCAGTGAGGGGGTTGGCAGGAGGGGTTGGCTGGGAGTATAGTTTCCCCAGGCCTCTTGGGGTCCTGGGGGGGGGGGCCTCAGTGCAATTCCCTTGGGGCCTTTGAAATACATCATCAGGCTCTGACAAAGTGGACCTAAGATGCACAGAATGGGTTTTGCCTAAGGATGGGATGGGGCAAGGGGATGAGTTGAGAGGGACACGAGGAGGGTTTGCCCCTGTACCCTGGCTGCCCCCAGCCTGAAATCATCCTGGACATTCTTATGCAACCCCACCACACGCCTACCTCCTGAGCTGGTGGCCACGGCCTCCTCCTGCAGCTCCTGCAAAAGATAAAGAGGAAACCGAAGCTGTGACCATCAAGCCCTGTCCTAGCCCTAGTCCAGCCCAGCCCCTGTGGGAGGATCTACCCTCAGGATGGGCCCCAAGACTAGTCCTGGCCCTGCCCGTTTGGTCGTACCCTCCAGCTCACCTTCTGGGGCGTCCAGTGCACACAGGAGCCCCAGGCCCCAACACCTGGACCTGTCACATGTAATGAGGGGAAATTCTCGGGCAGCCCTCTGCGTGTGGGCACAAAGCAACTGAAGCAGCCACCACGGCACTCTCCATCCGGCACCACACTTCACGGCGTAGAACTGTATACAATACTCCAGGGAAGGGTTTTTAGCCCCATTTTACAGAGGTGGCCACTGAGGCCCAGAGTGGGGAGGTGACTTGCCCAGGGTCACACAGCCATGTGAGGACTGGAGTCTAAGCCCACTGCTCCCCACCCATGGCCATACCACCCGGGGCCCTTCCTGACACCATCTGACCCCTGCTACAAGCAGGGCCTCACAGCACGCACCACCCTGCTCACCTCTGTCCTGTGGGCATCTCATGAGCCAAACCCCGCCCCTGTAAGCAAAGGGGACAAGGCCCAGCCCCTTCCGTCGACTCCAGTCCAGGCCTCCGAGGTAGCCCGGTCGCCAGCCTGGTGCAGTTCCATACCTGGTGTGAGGCGCTCTGGTGCTCAGTTCCGCCTGCTTCACTCTGGTCCTCGCCTCCGTGTGCCACCAGACAGCTATCCAGCAGGACACTGTGACTGCGAGGGGGCAGGAGGGAAGGGCTGGGATTAGGGGTGTTAAATGTTTCCTGAACTGTGCTGAGTGCCAGGCTCTGTGCCAGGAGCTGGGGCACAAAGACGCCTAAGGGTAGGTCCTCGCCCTCTTGAAGCTCCCAGCACAGGGCAGGTGGCAGATCTCACATCCTGCTAACAAGTTCCCAGTCTGAGTCACACTCTGGAGCAAGTAGCTATGAAGGGCACAGCACAGTTCTGCCTGGGAGGGAGGGCTTCCCAGAGGAGGTGGCCTGCGAGCTGGGAATAGGTAGGGAATAGTGTCCAGGAAAGGGGAACAGCAAGTGCAAAGAAAATCACGGAGGACGGTTTTGAGGAACTGTCCTTTGGGGGCTGACCAAAGGGCACTGTAGAGTGTTCAAAATCTATGCCCAGCATTTCCCCTCTGAGAGTCTCCAGGCAACCTTGGGGATATAGGCAGAGCAGGGAGGATGAGAAAAGTGACGCACAGAGAGGTCAAGTGGCCCAGCCAAAATCACACAGCAAATTGTCCCACATCACACAAACTTCAGACACAGACCCTGGTTTTTTCCATGCCATGAGATCAGAGCCACACTGCAACTGCTGAAGGTTCCAGGGGTCCCTGGCCCAGGCAGAGGCATACATGAGTGACGGGGGCCAGGGTGAGACTATAGGAAGGAGAGAGGAACCTGTGCCCATCTGAGTCAGCAACCCCACTCCGCTTGGAATGGGAGTCCCGTGGCCAGATCTGCTGATTTTCAAGAGGATCCTGAACTACACATTTTAAAGGTGGGACCTCCCCATCTCTAGATGCTGATAATTAATCCAAATGAATAGATCTATATTAACATCTGTATTTATATTAATATCTATATTAATATTTCAATATCCAAAAGAGCCTGTCTCCAGACTAAATTGGGCCCTGAGATGCCTGTGTGCAATCTCTGGGTTAAAATGATGACGTGGGACCAAGGGCTAATGTGATTTTTGTGGTTAGAATTAGATTCTGCTTCCTAACGGCCTCACCCCATGCCATGGACCACTGTCGCCAAGGGGCTCATGGAGGATGCTGTTTGGCATCTGCTGCCCAGAAAACCTGAATTCCCCATCCTTTACCCAGAGGGCCGAGTCTCAGCCCTCCTGAGGTGGGTGAGGAGATGGGGACGGAATTACAGCCCAGTCAGTTTGGAGCCAGCAGCCTGGGAGCAGGAATCAGCCAGCAATCATATTGTCACAGCAGCTCCCAAGGGCTGTGTGCCAGGCACCGGGCCAAGCACATGGCACGCACAGTGTGTCACCAAATCCTCACCCAAATAAACCCGAGAGCCCAGCTATGACTGATCCTATTTGAGCTTAGAAATCGGAGGTTCAGAGAGGTCAGATGGCCTGTCCAAGGTCACACAGCCTGTACCAGGTGAACCTGGATAAAAGATGGGTGTCTCTGACTCCAGCACCAAGTCTTTAATACTCCACTGCCTGCCTCTGAGTGTCTGCACAGCCCCAGGTGACATGGAGGGGTGAGGCGAGTGTTTGGAGGATTCAAGCACCTAACTCACTTTATTTCTCTTCATTGCATACGCATTTCCATTGTGAGGGGTCTGAATTGTCAGTCACACTCTCTACCCTGCCCAGGAAGAAACAGCTTTTCTTAAAGAAAAGGGCATATTATGACTTCCATAGGGCCCGGGCACTTCAGCCTTCACGGGCCCCTTCCTCCATAAATATATTTTTAAAATTCCATTTTGTGACTGCATTCATATGAAGATTAATATGTTAATATTATATATTAAAATATTCTCTTCCATCTAAAAGTTCATTTTTTGGTCTGATTTGGAAAGAAATTAAAATGTTCTCGGGGGCCTCTAAAGTATTACGGGAACCGTGCCTTCCACACCTGACAGAGAAGTCGGCCCTTCCCGGAAGGGTGGGATGGGCTTGTGCTGCGAGGGGCAGACTGGGTTCTCCTTCCCTGGAACAGATGCAGGGGCCTCCTCGGTTCTCAGAGCGCAAAGGCCCAGGAAATGAACTTCCCACAGTCCCAGTCAGAGGCTTCCTGGTGTCTTGCTCATTCTAGAATCTGGCCTGGAAAGCAAGTCCCCGGGAAACCTCCGTTTGCTTATCTGTCAAATGGGTAGGACTCATCCAGCCTGTACTGTACAGACTGGCTTATTTAAATGAGGTCAGAAGGGCCAGTGAGAAGCTCATGGAAAAGTCAAAAAACCTCCCCATGTCCGGTGTCATCTGGATTCTCCATCTCTAAACACTGGTAAGCAGCTTTCCTTGTCTGTAGTACTAGGTGTCCGCTTAGGAGCCCAGCCTGACCTGGGACCGAATCCCAGCTCTGCGCTTGCTGGCAGGTCACCCGTGGATGTGTGGGCTGTTATCTCTGAGCCTCAGTTCTCTCATCTGTGAAATGGGATTAGCAGTAGGAGCCTTAGCACAACGTCTGGCACGGAAAACAAGTGCTAATCAGGTGACAGCTGTTATTATGACTGTTCTTGTCATTATTATTATAAATCCCAGAGGAGGCGGCGGCCTTCTGCAGGTCTGTGAACCACCCACGTAGATTGCGGAACATTTTGCACAAACATCTCCAGCTACGGAGGCACATAACAAGCCTTACAGTGGCCCTGTCAGCCCCACCAGGGGCTGTTTGGGGACCCATGTACCCCCAAATCACGTTGCCCCCGGTTGGCAGGATGCCTGGTGCCTGCTGAGGCCCCCTCTTGACCAGCCCAGATGCAGCGGGCCATCAACTTCTGGAAAGTTCCCAAGTTCCAGGGATTTCCAAGCAGAGGATCAGACAGACTGGCTGAGGTGGGCATCCCAGAGGTCCTGGCTCTCCGAGTTCAAGGTGTGGGGAGTAGCAGCAACGGCCAGCTGGCAAGAGTTTACCAGCCCACTGCCCTCCCCCAAGTCACAAAACAGGCTGTGCCCGCAAGTTAAGGTCCTCACTGTTGCTTTCAGCAGACTCTTCACCCGGTACCCCAGCCCCGAAAGAAGGAAGGAGGGGAGCCCTTAGGGAGAAGCAGCCACCTACTTGGGTCTCTCTGTCTTTGCTGACAAGGACGCCCGTGGTGCAGGAGTTCAGCTGGGGGCGATGACATTCATTCCAAGCCCCAGGTCGGTGCATGCCAGTGGAGGATTGGGGGAGCCCGAGCCCAGCCCCGAGCCTGTGAGGCCAGCTCTGGAGCCAGTGTGGCTCGGGTGGCAGATGAGCCACCAATCCTTCCTGCTTCTAATCAGTTTGAGGGGATGTGCGGGGGAACTCTGCGGAAATGGTCCCAGGGAGGCCAGGTGGGACCCAAAAGGCTTCCGTTGCTATGAAAAGCTGAGCTGTTGCCAGCAGAGACCAGGTCGCTAGGCGACCATCTGCCTGTTACCAGGGCTTGCGGTCGTCGTCAGTAACCCCTGTGCCTCCGCAAAGCTGGCAAAAGCATCCTTCCCCAGTCAGTGACAGCCCAGCCCACCTGTCCCACGCCTGACACCCTCTGGCCTTGGCCCTGGGATCACTGGCTCTGTCACCACAGGGCCCTTGTCCCTACCTGGGGCCCCAGGCCCCAAAGCGCCCTGAGTTTGAAGCTCTGGGTGAACATCTGTATGAGCCTGTGTGTGCCTGCAGTGTGTGCAGGTAACTGTATGCATGCACTTGTGTCTAGTGTGGATATGTGCAAGTGTGTACATGTGTGCCCGTGTGTATTGCTTGTGTATGTATGCAGGTTGTGTGTGTAAGTGCCCTGCCTACACATAAGTGTGCACATAACCCAGCATGTGTGGCTGTGTCTGTGTGCAGGTGTGTATGTGCGGTGCAGATATGTGTGTGTGTGTCTGTGTGTACTGGGCAGAGAACACGTGTGTAGTTAGTGCGTGTGCCTGTGTGTGTGTACATTGGCTCACTGGCTTTCAAGTGGTGTTTTAGCTCAGGAGCTGTGACATATAAAGGGATTTGCAGACCTATGTGTCGGGCATACGGGTTTGGTGGCGGAACAGCTCAGAGCTCTGCAGTCTACACAGAGGCAGGTGAAAGCAGGGGGCAAATAGAACTGCACTAATGCAGCCAGGCAGCATCTAAGGTCTTCATTTAGGGGAGGGGCAGTTACCTGTTAATGGGAGCATCCTGGCTCTGGAGAGGCCTGGAGGGTAGAATTAGGACCGGGTCACAGAAGCCATAGTTTTGGCAGAAGAAATAATTTCCCAAGTCAGAGGTGGATATGGATGGAATGGACGGCCTTTGAGAGGTTGTGAGCTCCCTGTCATTGGAGGCAATCAAGTAGCTGCATGGCCTCCTGCTGAGGATAGAAAGATTATAGGTGAACTGGGCAAGCATGGACTCAAAGTAGATCACACTAAGCAGGCTTCTAGCCCCCAAATCCTGTGTGGCCTCATGGTTTAACTCTTTCCTGACTGGGACTAAAAGTGACCCTCAGTAGGGATGAGAAGATGGGTGACTGTTGATGGAGCGCTTACTCCACACCAGCTCCTACCGCATCCATTCTCACAGCGAGCCCTCTGACCACTCAGGAGGGGCTGTTATCAACCCCTCCCCCCGTTCTAGAGATGTGGAGGCAGAAGCTCTGTGCCCATCTGCCACTTGCCCGGGTCACTCTGCTGAGAGAAGAAAAGCTTGTGCTCCTAACACTTGTGATGCTACCTCGCCTCAGGCCATGGCCAAAGGGACAGGGAGGAAGTGTATGGGCCGGGGGTACCACAGAGGGCAGAGTGACAGGGACAGAGAATAATACAAGGGGGATGGAGCAAGGGGACAGGTTAAATCATCTGGCCTGATCTGTGGTACAAGAGCCACCACGCTGCTCCTCCTGCCTCAGTCTCTGCACAGTGCAGCTGCCAGCCTGTCACTTCCCTGCTCACAAACCTTCCACGGCTCCCCATTGCTCCCGGGAAATCAAGTTCAAGGCCTTCACAATCTGGCCCCACCACCTCCGAAGGATCATCTCCCACCCCTTCCACGAGCTACACTGTCACTCTGCCTGGGACATGCGGGCTGCTCGCGAGGCAGCAGTTCACTCCCTCCTCCTTGAGACACTTTCCAACTGGGCCTCCAGGCCTCACACCCTTCTCATTTCCCTCACCCCCATGGGCGCCTCCCCCTCCTTGGTCCTTTCTGGTTCCTCCCCATCTCCCTGACCTCTGCTCTGGCATTTGGGCCTCTGCTCCATCTACACTCACTCCCCAGGCATCTCTTCCAACCCCACTTTCATTCCGTCTATGAGATCAGACGCCCATCTTTACATCTCTGGTCCAGCCTCTCATCCCCTAACTCCACGCAGGCATCCAGCCATCTGCTTGTCACCTCTACGTGCATCCACCTCTCCATCTGCCCTTCTGTCCAGCCCACATTGCTCAGAATCACCTCCCTCTTAGTGGTTTCTTTTCTTATTATTCAAATATATTTGACATATAACGTTTTATAAGGTGTACAACATGCTGACTGATACATTTGTATATTATGATACGGTTGCCATTGTAGCGATAATGAGCATTCTATCACATCACCTAATTATCATTTCTTTTTAGTGGTGGGAATAATTAAGATCTAGTCTCTTGGCAAGCTTGATTATAACTTTTAGCGGTTTCTGAGTTCCATTTTTAAGCTCTTACTGTAACTGAATTCTTTTGTGTGTCTTGATGTTGAAATTTTTATGGATGTGGATACAGAATCAACCATTATGGAAGACAGAGCAGAATCCAGGGCAGCCTTAAGAAGGCATCAAAGGCAATCATCGGGGACCGACTGTCGGGGAGGGTGTGAGGGACAGAGACAGCTCTGCGCCTTGGCTTTGCTAATCACACGGGAGAGCTGGGCGCCCACTGCATGGGTCCGTGCATCCATCCATGCATTCAACCAACACTGATTTGGTGCCTACTGTGCTAGGCACTGTTCTAGGCTCTGGAGACATGGCAGTGAAGGCAACAGACAAAAATCCCCACCCTGGGGCTTCCCTGGTGGCGCAGTAGTTGGGAGTCCGCCTGCCGATGCAGGGGACACAGGTTCGTGCCCCGGTCCGGGAAGATCCCACATGCCACGGAGCGGCTGGGCCCATGAGCCACGGCCGCTGAGCCTGCGCATCCGGAGCCTGTGCTCCGCAGTGGGAGAGGCCACAGCAGTGAGAGGCCCACGTACCGCAAAAAAAAAATCCCCACCCCGTGGAGGTGCATTCTACCTCTGTATGTGTGAGTGTGGGTGGCGTGGAGGTGGTCACTGAGTATTAGGTACTATGAATCCCAAGGTCATTACGAGCCCAGTGGGGTCCCCCAGCACCACCTCAGCCTTTCTGGTCAGTGTCCAGCAGAAGTGGGCACGGAAGAAAGGGAGGAGCTTCCGTGAGTGGCAGAAAGCACCCTCACCCCAGAAGCCCGGGCAGCCGCTCCCTGGGCCATCCCTCAGCCAGGGGCACGGGTCCTTACCCAGGTTCCTCCTCTTCTCTGTCCTCCTCCTCCTCGTCTTCTTTCTCCTCTTGAATCTGAGGCAGCTCCCTGAGTTGAGGTCAAAGGCAGGAGGTGAGGTCGCCTGTAGCTGCACCCCGTATCTACCTCCTGACCCCCATTTTCAGTACGATGGACTGTGACCCGCCCCCCAGAGACCAGACCTTAACTTCCCACCCAAGACTTTACCTGGGGAGCCCTGCCTGAGCAGCCCCGGTTTCTCTCTAGCAACAGGGCTCCCTCACTGCATTAGGGGCTGGTCCCGGCCCCCAGCTGTCCTGGTGCTGACCCTAGGTCAGCCTCTAATCTTCCCTGGACCTCAGTTTCCCCATCTTTGCAATGGAGGTCATGGGCCTGAGGACCTGTGGCCTCCTGGCTTGAGCAGCTATCACCCAGCTCACAGGTGGGAACTAAGATGGTTCAGCCCCTGTGGAGGCTGACCCAGACATCACTACCACGGTTACACATTCCTTTCCCTGAGGACCTTGCAACTCCCTCTGGAAATGTGTCCTGCAGGGGGTACACACATGCACATGCAAGGACATGTGGACAGGAGTGCTTGTTGCAGAACTGTTTATAATAATAAAATTTTGGAATCAACCTAAATGGCCATCAAGAGTGGACAGATTAAATACATTCTGGCATACCCATATGATGGAATACTATGCAGTTGTAAAAAAAAAAATGAGGATGATCTCCACGTACTAAATGTGGAAAGATCTTAAGGTATGTTGTTGAATGAATGTAGCAAGGTGCAGATAGGTCAGTGCATGTGATATGCTATCTTTTGTACAAAAAATGAAGGGAATCCATGCTCATATATGCTCAGATGGGCCCTGGAAAGGTACAGAAGATGCTGGCAGCCACTGTGCCCGTGCAGAGAGGGATGGGTGTCTGGTGGGACGTAAAGGGAGGAAGAGGCAGACTTGGTGCCCGCTGTATGCCCTTTTATACCTTTGGGATTCTGTACCATGTGCCTGTTATCTTCCCAAGCACTGTTGTTTTTCAGGGCTTTCTCTGGCTCCCACCTGGGCATCTGCTCCACCACCTCGCTCTCCTCTTCATCAGCTGGAGCTGCCTCTGAGCCCCGTGGGCTGCTGACCTCCTGGTACTCATACTCCTCCCAGTGAGGGTCAGCATCTTCCAGGATGAGACTGGGCTCCTCTTGCTCTCCCGGGAGGATGCTGACTACAGGGGACATAGGGGGAGGGGGAGAGTGGGCCTGGGCCTCTGAGACCCCGGGACCACAAAGGGAGCCTTGGTCGTCACCAGCTACACGCCAGCTCTCAGCCAAGCAGCAGAAAGGGCACCGCTATCAGTGGGACCGTTGACAACCAGGTCAGTGCTAAAGTGACGGGCTGAAGCCCACGATCACTCATCCTGTCTCCCTCCATTGGTTTTCCCTCTTTTTCCCCTTGAGACAGAGCTTCAGTTAGTTAGTCTTGTTTCTCACCGGAGCCTCCTTCTTGGAGGTTTGTGCAGAAGCAGAAACTATGCTTCCACCACAGTATTGCAGGTGATGCCAAGAGACCCAGGCTCGAAGTCCACCCTGCCACATCCAGGTGCAGTGGCCTGGAATGTCCCGAGGGATGCAGACAAAGCTTGCCCACCACCTGTTCTCTAGATGCCACCCCCTGGTGACAGCGTACTACATGCCCATAATCTCAGAACCTCCTTCTGGGAGTCTAGGAAGACTTCCTCCTGGACTAGAGGCTCCAACCTCCAAGGGAACTGAACTTGACTTTCTCGTGGAGGTGGTCTCACTTTGAACATTTCTCCATGTACCCTGGTCCCTGGCAATGAACACACTGTGGGGCTGTGACCTTGGCAGAAGTGGGTGCAGGGGAGCCTCATCAGGAGCCTAAGCCCACCCCAAGACAGGAGAAAGGTGGAGATTGCCTGGTAGCAGGGGTTCCCACAAAGCTCCAGCAGCCTTGGTGGTCTTCAGGCCAGGCATGAATTACTAATGGCAACTTTAAATGGAAGCTATAGCCTCAAGTCTCATCCTTTGACTTTGGAAGTTATTGTTCATGGTGTAGACTCATAATATTAATAATAGTAATGGTAATAATAACAGCACCAGCTACATTTATTGAGCATTCACTATAGGCCAGGCCCTGTGCTAAGTGATTTATGTGGACTAACTCAGTCCTCACATCAACCTTTTGAAGTGGGAATAACTATTACCCTCATTTTATTTTCCCTCTTTTATATCTTATTCCCCATTTTACAGGTGAGCACGCTGAGATGCAGGTTAATACCTTCTTTTATGGGGTGCTCCCCACGTGCCAAGCATGGGGCTGTCTGCCTTCCAAGAGTCACCTCACTCCCCACTCCTGCCTCCTGGCTTCCAGGTACCGATGTCATCCGGCCTCGCAGAGGAGGCTACTGCCTGCCCTCCGGGGAAGTCTCCCACATGCTTCCTGAACTACGGTCCTGGCTCCCCCATCCCTAAAAGCAGCCCTGGGGTTGGACCAGGGAGGATCCTCCACCTGTGGCCCTGAATCCATTGGTGGGACATACATGTCATAGGTATGTGTCGTTCTAAGTTGCCACCCAGTAATGTTGCAGTGTCTTCATCCTGATCAGCCCCTGAGGGGTCAAGTTCCTGCCTGACATCCAGGTGACATCCAGGGGACAGAATATCCCCTGGCCTGTGAGCTCATGAGCTTGCACGGCAGCCCTGCCGGGTAAGGACACCACTCGCCTCCATTTTATCGACCAGAGGGGATGAGTGACTTGCCCAGGGCCACGCAGGATGCTGGGAGCAGTGCCAGGTCCCCTGACTCATTTCCCTGGTGCTATGCCAAGTGACAAACATGCCCCAGGAGCACCGCCCTGCCATTGGTGGCCACTCCATAATGGGCGCTGGAGGCTGTCTTGCTTGCTTGCATCCTTGCTTTCCCTTGCATTAACCCTTTCTTTTTAGGTACTAATTAGTGAGTGGGCATTTTATAAACACTTCCTCCCTTCGTCTTTGTGCCACGCCTATCCCCATTTTACAGCCAAAGAACAGGATGGTGCCGGAGGGTACCAGCCAGGAAGGGCAGGCAGGGGATACCAATCCCTGGGCAGGGCCCTTCCTCCCGTGGAGCTCCCAGCCCTCTCTGCAGGCATCTGATTCACAGCTCTCCCGGCTTTTCCAGGGTCCACCCAGGTCACAGATGGGGCTACGATGCACCACAGGTGCTCAGACTCACATGGAAACTGCTGTTCCATCCAGGGCTTAAACTTCACCCTGGAGTCCCTCGTGGGCACACCGGCTCTCGCACAGCATCCTCTCTGCCAGCCTAGGATGGCCCTCAGGGCAGCTGAGTAGGGTTCTGACCCCGGCAGATCAATAGCCCCATATGGGGAGGGAGCTGCTGTTTCTAGGAGCAGCAGGCAGGAAACCCTGGAGCATGGATTCTAGGCCAAGGCCCCCACCCGGTCCCTGGGTTGCTGGCAAAGCCCAGGCCTTCACTCGAAACCCCCATCCTCCCTGGCAGGCCTGGGTCATAATACCCACTCCCTCTGCCTCTCCCCGGTCCAGACCCACATCTTCTCCCATCTGACCCCCGAAGCACTAACTTCTCACTGACTGGTATTTCTCAAAGCATGGTCCTTGCCACTACCCCATCATCAGAATCATCTGGGGAGGTGGGTGCTTCTTGAAAATGCAGATTATCAGGCTCCCACACTCTTAAAATTGAAAGGTCTGGGCATGGGATCTCCTTCATAGCTCTCCCCAGATGTGGCCTCAAGTTCAAGAACCCTTGTGTCCATTGCGTTCTCTGCCTCCAATGCTTGCTTAGCCTCAGAGTAATTTTTGTGACGTCACTGCCCGGCTCAACCACCTTCAATGGCTCCCCATTGCCTACAGCCTCGGCCCCTAACATCAGGCCCCAACTCTTCTAGTTTTACCTTCTGCCTCAAGGACTCTGGGCTCCAGATTAGCTGAAGTGCCCACCTCTCTCCCTGTACACTCTCACCTCTAGGCACATGTTCATTTTATTACATGTACCAGCTTGCCGTCCCCTCGCTGCCAGTCTGAGACCTCAGGGGTCTCAAACTCCAAGGCCTATGTAGCCAGGGAGATGGTGCATGTGGGTAAAGCGGAGGGTGCCACCTGCCCTCAGGTGGCAGCTGCCACTCAGACTGTCCTCACAAGCACAGTGCGGGACCATTACAGCTCGATCTTCCCAGTTTTCAAGAGAAGCCAGATTTTGCTATGCAAAGCCACCTGATTTTTAAATGTTGACAACTAATTCTAATTTTTAAAATCACGCCTTGCCCCAAATGAAGACATCTGTGGAGCCAGCTGGGACCCAGGGCAACTGGCTCAGGACCCCTGGCTAACTCCTTCCGGCAACCCCAATACCACAGGCCATATTAGTCCACCCACTTCTCAAACCTAGGTACTCGCTTTAGCCTTATCTGAAGCAATAATATCATGCGATCACAAGTTTGATGTGCTGCCGTACGCTTTTTAATGTCAATTAAAGCACGTGCTGGTAGCCCCCAACTCTTTGAGGGGGAGAACATAGCCAAGCCTAAGGAGATCCTTTTCGGGGAAAAACTGTGTCCCGGGGGGGCGCTGAGTGTGCCAGGCACCATGCTGAGGGCTGTGCCCGCGGGCTTTCCCGCAGCCTCTGGTGGGAAGTCCTCCTGCTGTCTAGCCTAAATCCCACAGGCTGCCCTTGGTGGGCCTTCCCCTTGCTCTGGTGGAGAGGGGCCAACCTTGGTCTCCGAGAGGCAGTTCTGGGACTGGATCCCCCTCACCCTGCCTGGGATTGGAGGCGGGAAGCAGGGGGTTCAAGGAGGGTAGGGGGGTCAATGGCCACCTCATCCCCCTGCCCTGCAGGTCTTCTCTTCAGGGAACCCTTCTTTCCTTCCATCCGTCTGTCCATTTGTCCATCTGCGCTCTCCCAGGCTCCCCTCCCTTTTGTTTCAGAGGCCTCCAGCTGCAGCCACCCCTGAAACAAAGGAGAAGAGAGAAGGGTGGGTGGCGGGGTGGACAGGCGGAGGGAATGAATGAGCGAAAGGATGGGGAGACTGGGGGATGGAGTGGGGGCAGGATACTCATCCCTCACCCCTCAGGGTCACCCTTGTGGTGGGTTGAATAGTGTCCCCCCCCAAAAAACGTATATCCAAGTCCTATCCTCTGTTACGTGTGTGACCTTATTTGGAAATAGGGTCTCTGCAGATGTCACTAGTTAAATATCTCAAGATGAGGTCATGCTGGATTTAGGTTGGGCCCTAATCCAATGACTGGTGTCCTTATAGAAGACAGGAGAGGGAGACTTGGCAGACACAGAGGAAAAGGCAGAGATTGGAGGGCAGCTAGATGCCACAGGGCACCAAGGATGGCCAGCAGCCACCAGAGCCAGGAGAGAGGCCTGGCACGGTTTCCCACTCAGAGCCCCAGAAAGAAACAACCCTGCCAACACTTCGATTTTGAACCGCGAGAGAACACATTTCTGCTATTTGAAGGCACCCTGCGTGGTCCTTTGTTACGGCACCCCCAGGAAACTGACACACCCCAGGGCTGAGTCCGCCCCATGGCTGCCCCAGGCCCCACCATGACCCGCACACTCCGGGCACGCAGGGAGGCCCTGCTACAGCTGGCTGAGACCTGCCTCCTTCCAGAGGAGCAGGGAGGAGGGTAAGAGGGCTGGGGGCTCCATCCTCAGAGCTCTCAGCGGCCCCTGGTAGGAGGGGGTGCGTGGGTGGCTCTCTGTTCCAGGGAAGATTTTCTGCTCCTCTAACCTTGGCCTGGCTGAGCAGCTGCTTAGCCCAGGGGTCTAGTCACTGCTCCATGACAACTTGCTTTGTGACCTTGGACACGTCTCTGCCCCTCTGCCTTCCCCAACAGCCATAGACGGCCCGCGCTGGGCCCTCCAGGGTGGCCACGAGCTCGAGACTGAGCGAGCCCTGCTCTGAGCCTCCCCTTCACGACGCTGTCACGATTATACAAACCCCATGACACCCACACCCGAGCTCCACAGCTGGCCAGCCTGTGGTGGCCTCCCATGTCAGAGTGCTCATAAAGGCCACCATTGGCCCAGCGGGCCTGGGGCTGGCAGCCCTGGGACGCCCGAGGCCCACGGTCCAAGGGCCTGTGTCCAGGGTGGAATAGGGCCACTGCTCCCAGGTCTTAACTCTGCTCTGCTCACCTCCAGCGCTCATCACCGGCCTGGCACATAGCAGCCCTCCATGAGCATTTGTGAATGGATGAATGAATGAATGAATATACCACATATACCACATGCCTTTCCAGAGGCCATGAAATGAAGGAAGAGC